ATGCCAGACACTCTGTAAGTTATACATTACCCATAAATTCGTATATACCACAGGTTACTAAACGCTCTACAGGGCTTAACTCCATTGACGATTTCTGCTTGTGGGGCCCTCCTACTCGTGATACCATTGGAAACTCGGAACGTATCTCGATCGCTTATTGCACACACGGAAACCACGGAGCTCGTGTCATGCCAGCTGGGACACTCACTGGTGTCCACTGGGTCAAGACTCCAGAATACGTGCAAATCACCGGAACTGGTGACTTCACCAAGATCAACATCCCACAGGGTGACGATGGAGGAGAATTGGACAACCACGGTGCCGATGTAAGTCTATTTTTCAACTGGTGAGGTGACGGTCAGGAATAGCATTTGTGAATAGGGTCTCGGAAACCCATCGGAGGTCTTGTCTACGGAAATGTTTTCGGGAGCCAGCAGCAGTTCCACGAATGGTATGCAAATCTATGTCCTTTGAATTGCACGTTACTGATGCTAATCTTTAGGACCGAGTTCATCTCTTACAACGAGTTCTGCATTCGTGCCTGTGTCGGACCAAATGCCCCCGTCAACTGCAACCACATCTATGATGTCATGGGGTTAGTTTCGTTTCATATTCTGTGCCTGTTTGTGGAATGGCCACCCTGGCGAATCCCCATGAGGCGTTTCGAGAGTGGAACAAAAAAGCTGATCGACTTTACAGATGCTACTGGAACATGCCAGCTAGCTATTCTTCTGGTGTCTTTGAATCTTGCGACGGTGCCGTCGGTGAACCAATGGGATTGTACGGAACTTCTCGCTGGTACCAAGGTGTCTCGCCCACGCCATCGGCTCATCCTGCTCCTGCAAGCTCCAACTGTGTCACTACTGCCACAGTCGGAACTGGAAGCTAAATTGATGCGACCTAGAACATATAGGCGGTTCAAAGCGAAAGCTACCACGGCAACCCAAAACATAAAGAGCTATACCAGTCAAAAAGCGGAAGGTAGATGGCGATTCAACGAACATTTATTTTATCTATATACACAACTCACACGTTCGTTTGATTTTAATGTATTCGCTATAATGGACATATTCATTATCGTTCACAATTATCTCCGGTCTGGTTTAGTCGTCGCCTGAGTGCAGTAGATAGCTCAATAACCAGTGAGATGAATGTTAAAGTTGAAGGATTATATGTGGCACTTGTCAAGGCCACCTTATGTGAGTACTGAGCTCTCGCACCCGACAATGAGATGTAAGAGTAGTCGTGCCTGGTGTCGGATCGAAACCAAATGATATGAGTAGGTATTAGATGGTCATGGCTTATCAAATATCAGGTTATTTATAGACCAGACCAGTACTCGAGGAAGGGTCTCTGAATTGTGACCTCGCCAAGTGTGGAGGTAGCCCAAATCCCAGTTAGCCAACTCAGTAATCGAGATTTATGTCTTCGGGA